TGGAGATATTGTCTTGTAGATACGGTGTTGTTCTAACAACATAAGACTGGCCATGCTGGGTCAGACCAATGGTCCATCTAGCCCAGTGTCACGTCTTACAACAGTGCCCAGTGCCAGATGCTTCAGAGGGAACGGAACAAGGGAAATTATCCATCCCCTGTTATCCAGTCCCAGCATCTGGCAGTCAGAGGTGTAGGGACACCCAGAGCACGGGATTATGTCCCGTGACCATCTTGCTAATAGTCATTGTTGGGCCTATCCTCCATGAACTGATCTAATTATTTTTTGAACCCAGTTATATTTTTGGCCTTCACCACCATTGAACTCAACAGAGTTAAGCTGAGATTCTGAACGGAGTTACACGGATGTTAACAGCTGTGAAATTAGGATCCCAGTCACTGTTCGGGTCCTATCCCAGCAGTACTGGGCTATTTGGGTTTGGGAGCTTTGGGTTTTGGTATGCCCAACAATGCCGAGTAAGGTTGCCAACCATCCAGGATTGTCCTGGAGTCTCCAGGAATTAAAGATGAATCTTTAATTAAAGATAATGTCATGTGATGAAACCTCCAGGAATTCAGCCAACCAAATGTTGGCAACCCTAATGCCGAGGCATTGGGATCTGAAGCTTATGAGAGGCCCTGTTTCACGCGCAATCACTGATGCAGCAGGCAGTTAGCTATGTACCTAAGGTGTGTTCATCAATCTAGTACCCGAGCACCACACAAACATTAATAATAGATTTTATCCTCACAATAGTACTGTAAGGTAGGGAATTATTAAACCTTCTGAACAGATGGGGAAGTGAGGGTACAGTTAGAGTTGTAGGAAAGAGATCTTTATTGAATGTGCAGAGAGGCCCAGCCTGGCAATCAGGTTGCACTCCAGAGCCGCTAGACGTCACATCAAACTAGCTCCCTCCTGAAACCTGACTCACTGTCTTCAGTTCCGCTCCCACGCCTCAGACTCCAGGCCCTGTCTCTGTTTTAATATTGTTGTTGGGCCCAGACCGAGGAGCCTTCTCCTGTCTTGCAAAGATGTAGCTCGGACAACACAAGATCATACGAGCGCTGCAAAATGTGTTACATTTTGCAAATGACAGTGTGTGTTAGTGTGTGTGTTGTATGTGTTTACATTGCGGGAAAGAGGGAAGAAAGTACTTTACAGCCCTTTAATGTTCAAAATAATACTAACGTAATAATTAATTATTATTATAAAACTGATGACAACCAGGCAATAGTCAGCCCTCCATTCATGTGCCATCAACAAGCCAGATACTACAGTGATGAGCATTGTATAAAAGCAGAATGGAACGGGCAACAACTCACAGTGACAAGCCCTGGTGCACAGTTACTGCACTTGTGAAATAATTAACTAGTCGATGCACTCCAGGCTCATGGATCACCCTACAATAACAAACCAGCATGCCCCCTATGATTCGAAGTAAGTTAGCACGGAAACTGAGTTCACTTTCATTCAGCCAAAGGATTATTAGAGATGATTGAAATTTTTATGCACAAAAAAAGGTTTGTGTGTGTGTGTGTGTCTTTGTGTGTGCGTGCGCACGCACTTTTTGGCAATGTATCTTGCCACGAGAAATGTATTACTGAAAATTTCTGGGGTTTTTTGCCAAATTTTCCATTGCATTTTATAATCGAAATTGTTAGCAGAATGGTTTGCTTACTTGAAAACCCAAACAGTTTTGAAAATGATTTCAATTAAAACATTGGGAACAAATACTGCTTTTTAAAAAAAAATTGGCGAAAGAGCGGAAGGGAAATGGGTGCATTTCAAACACTATAAAACAGAAGCAGCTTCAAAATATGTCATAAAATCGGTTTCCCCATTATTTTGACCAGCTGTATACAATAAAGGAAATGTTACATCATATTATTAAATAATGATAAGACGTAGCTCGTATATAACACCTTTTCATCAGTAGATCTCAAAGCACATTAGCAATTTCTTGCAGTAGCACCTCTGAGCTCCAGAAATGGACCAGAACCCCAATGTGTTAGGTGCTGTACAAACACAGAACAAAAAGCCAGTCCCTGCCCCAAGGACCTTAGAATCTTAAGTGAGAGAGACATCCACTGTTGCTGCGTCAATTCCATTATAAACCCATGTTTCCCAGTGCTCAGTGTAGGTAAGGCACCTCTTTGAGATAAAATTTGGCCTAGAAGCAGATACGTTTATCTGTGTTTGGGAAGACGAGAGGAGAATTGTCAAGGGATTTTTTTTCCTCTTTCAAGTTTGGCATGAAAAGAGATCAAGACTTCCAGGAAATTATATGTTGCTTTGACTTTTT